GTTTTACAATTGCAGCATCTCTGTGTAAACTGGACCTTAGAGGATCTTGAGGGGCCATAAATCAGACTTGGGGTGTTTCCCCCTGCTTACTCGTCTCTGTGACAAAAGAGCATCTGATTTGTGATGGACCCCCGTCATGTCCCCTCTTTTTGCCATTTCCCATATCAGCTTTGTACTGATCCCCAATAAAAGGGCAGTCAGGCTCTGTGTGAATCATGCTGTGATTTGCTTTTTTCACAAAGCTGGTGACCTGTCTGTGTCTGGCTCTAATCAGGAGCGCTCCAGAGGCTGTCTTGTGATAATAAAACACCATTATGCCCCTCATCATGCCCTCGCTTGTCCCCTCGGTGTGTGAGTGGACACACAGACACGCACTGCTCCAGAGGGCACAGGGAGGAGGTAATAAAGCATTAGGGGCTAGCTTAGCTCCTATTACCCTGACAGTGCTGCTTGTTCCTCCTATAAGCATGTCCGCGTGCTGGGCAGGCCCAGCCCCTGGTCCCACTCACTGAATAGAACCACAAGACTCTGGCTCCACAGAGATAGTGTTATCTGAACCTCCACAGAGTGGCCATTTTCACCCTGTAAACACCTGCTCAGCAGGCTTCACACATCAGCAGGAGCGCACAAAGAAACCTGTAGAGCCGGGCAAACATTAAAAGGCTGTACAATATTCCCACACAGTGCTTTGGAAACTTGACAGTGAAAGTAACATGTCTCTGGCCTAGTGATGATTATTAGTACTGAATAGGTCTGTATGTGTCCCCTCTTTCATACTGAGACCTACATTTTTGACCATTTAGTTCTTTCACTTAACATGACGATTATTATTTAAAATATTTGTGAGTGGTATAATATATTTGTGATTTGTGTGAATGGTAACACTGGTTGTGATTGGAGAAACTAATGGACGGTCTTATTAGTCAATCTAGCTCTGGGCAGCTTTGGCTGGCTATTTTATAAATTCCCTATTTTTTTCCAATAATGATTCTTAAATTATACCCATACCCATGGATCCATTGTAATAACTGGATAGGGTATTACTAGCTTGGAGCCGAAGGACCCATGTGCTAGCGAGATTCTTGCGGTACTGCAAACTAAACCAGACTAAATTCACGTGGGCTACACAGAGATTTTCCCCATAGAACACAATGTAATCTAAAACACGAGCTGTTTTAGACAGAGAACCTACAGCTGACAGAGAACCTACAGCTTTCACAAAGGTCGTATTTTGTGGGGATTTTAGTGTACCTTGTCATCCTGAACTTTTTTAGGGCCGAGCCCCGAACGGGGAAAGGGCCTATTGTTTTTTCTCGAGAGATGTCAAATTCTGCACTTTGAGCCTTAATTTCACCCCCTGAACATGCATGAAAAGTTGTAAAATTTTGATATTTGGGTGTTTATTTTTATGGGACTCAAAAAATGCCAGAACAGCGCCACCTACAACAGCCAATGGGAGTTTCAGAGGTCAAGTTTGTCGTAGAGCCATGAAATTCGGTACAGATGTTCCTCAAGTCAAGATACGACCAAAATGTTATCATGGCTCCGCCCTCTGACAAACAGGAGGCCCATAAATTTCACTGCAAAATGGAAAAATTATCCGCAATCATTTTCATACATGCCGGTTGGAAAGCGACTCCTCCTCGGCCGTTTCACTGATTGGCCTCCATATCAATCCACATTGTCTAAACTCATGTACCATCAAAATGACCTCAGGGATTTTTGATCAGTGAAACGTTGTTTGAGCAGCGGAGCGGCAAAATGTGAGTGTTTTTTGACCGTTTTTCACAACATTCTATTTGCTCCCGTTTACACATACAAATTCCGATTTGCACAAAACTTGAATCCATGGTTCAACTCTAGGGTCTAGGTCATTTGAAAGTGAAATAATTGAACTTGGCCCAATAGCGCCCCCTACAGATTGAGGCAAAGTTTTACATGGGGTGCCAAACAGCTCTAATCACCATATTCATTACAATTTGACTAACGTAATTCTATGGCAACAGCAACAAATCATCACACGGCGGCCCCACCTTCGTTGCACGGTGCTGCGTGGTACGGTGTGGTGCGGCGTAGTGCAGGGGGTTGTGAAGCGGCGCGTTGCGACTTGGTGCGGGGCGGCGTGGTGCAGATCAGCTTGGTGCGGGGCGGCGTGGTGCGGGGCGGCGTGATGCATGGCGGCTTGGTGCGGGGCAGCTCGGTGCGGGGCGGCTTGATGCGGGGTGGCTTGATGCGGGGTGGCTTAATTCGGGACGACTTGGTGCGGGGCAGCTGGTGCGGAGCGGCTTGGTGCTGGGCGGCTTGGTGCGGGGTGGTGCGCGCGGTGCGGCGAGGGCCGTTCGACGCCGCTTGCGGCTTTAATTTCTTCTTATATCCTTCGGTTTTCTTTAAATCCACACTTTACTGCCACAAACTCTGCTCGTCTTGCTCCCGCTCTAACTCCCGCTTAAACTCCGCTCTGATCAGCAGCGCTGATTGGTCAAAACGCGGCCGAGCCACCCAGACGTATTTGGCGCAACGCATCATGGGGTAGCTCATCCACTGCGCAGAACCGGGAGGACCAGACGATGCCCAAATATAGGCGAGTTCTGCTAATATGTCAGCGACCGTGCCGGCACATGCGCCACTGAGCACAAACCATTCATTTGAATACGGCGCCATCTTGGATCGCCAGGGCTTGGGCATACCTAGTTACTGTAACAAAACTCCAAGGCTTACTTTTGGCGTGGCTGTAAAAAAACCATACTTTGGGTCAAGGCTGATTGTCAATTTAAACGCATTTACAAAGAAAATTACATCTTGAATGGGTGTTATTGCCCCATGCACCAAATCCTTTTTTGCATTTTGAGTAGTTGTTTTATAATCCAGCATATCCATCCTGCTCATCACAGTAGCATTGTCCACTCACAGAAGTCACTTGTCTCCCTGTGTCCCTGCTGTTTGTAGAATTCCAGTTATTCCGTCTTTTCCTCGAAGACCTCCACACATGACCTGTTACCGCTGAGAGGGACTAAGCTGCATTTGCACTCACTTTCCTTCAAGTATTTCAATTAAAAAGAGATTTAACTCAAACGCATTTTCATAAAGGTACATGCAAACCCATCATGTTAACAATGTAAATCTGTGGTAATAATAGAGTTATCTTATAAAGTAGATTCATCAGAACAATACATGTATTTGAGTACAGGTGTAAATGTAAAAATTACATTCAATTTTTGTTGTATACATAGTAGTAGAATTGGGATGGGGATAGATTTGGTGATTATGTTTATCCTATTAGAACATATATCCCTTTGGCAGTTTATGCATATAGGTGGTCTTATTCAGAATCAGAACCCAGAAAAGCATTGCCATTGTAAGTAACAGGAACTCAAAAAGTAGGAATTTGGTTTGGCTCATGGTGCAAACAAGTTATACAAATAAAAATGGATACAAAAGCATATGGTCTTCCTGAGGTCCACAATCATCTCCACTGCCAATTCATCATCCTTGATTCAAGACAATGTGTGTGAAGCGTTTTTCTTAGGGACACAGCAGACTCTGCACTTAGACGTCACAGTGGCAATGATTGGTTTCTGATGCTTTGACATTGTTCTGCAGATCTGAAATTTCTCTTGTTGGAATATTGTGAGAACTGGCTTTCACATTTTCATCAATATCAATCAAGGTGTTTTTTGTCACAAAACCTTAATCCTAGGCCATAATCCTAAACAAGGGTTTTGCCATCAAAGTTTGACTTTCCGAACATGCCTAGGCCTGTCTTCTAGTTAACAATTAACTACATTTAAATTACACACAAACTACAGTGCACTTACATACGGCCTATTATCTCTCATACTTCACATGCAAGTAATGCAGACAAGCTGTTGCTTTGTTTATTCAACACCATTTATTGCAAGGCATATTTGCATTTAAAACAGCTTCTTTAAAAAGTAAAAATTGAAATTACATGAAAGATTACCGAACATCATATGATACAAAAAGAAAATGTTCTTTGAAAGTCGTAACTGCTCCTCAGATATAATATATTACTCACTCAAAAATATAATGGATTTTGTGAAAGAAAAGACTTATCAAAGAAAGCATCACCCAGTGATAATAATAGTGTCTTTATTGTAAACACTGAAGCACTAATGTACTGCATATTCCTTTGTAACTGTTCTAAACCACATTCTATAGCCAAATAAATTATTCCTATTGCAAATATTAATATATTCATTAGAGATATATATTTTTATTAGACCTCAAAAGCCATTCTAAAACTGCTGGTTATAAAAGTGCATAATGTTACATGATTGAAGTATTATTCAGTTTCATTTTGCGTCTTCGGCAAATGGAGTGTGTTCCTGCCTAAACTCATGGGATACAGTGTATATATACGTTCGTGTATATATATATATATATATACACACACACACTATAAGAATACATGTATTTATTAATTAACATAAGTCTCAATGGACCAGTATCACTTTTGGACTTTTGTTCACGTGACATAGAAAACGTATTTACTGCATGTTAATATACAAGTCAGGCTGCTAATGTAGCAAGTAGATGTTTTTAACAAAATTATGCACGTTATATTATGCACGTTCAGTCACAACAAAACTAGTCAGGCTCTTACAAGAACCAATGCTCCACCATTGTGTGACACATAGGCAAAAAGAAACCAGGAGGTAAATCGGTCACATTGAAAATGTTCTTAAATGGATTTCAGTGATATGGAAGTTTTCAAACCAATATCATAAACATTCTAGTTATTAATGATGAACCAAATCTTAATTTAAGAAGGCACCAAAAGATTAAAAGATAATCCAGCATCTTTTTAAACATTGTCAAAATCTAGAACACTCATTGGTTTTATGTTCCATTGTTAACAATGCATGTGCATGAGAATTATAAAATGATTGCTTTTCATTTTTTGGGTGTGAAAGATGAAATGAGGTCTACTGTGAATCAACGCACTATATGTCCAAAAAGGGTCCAAGTGATTTCAAAGTTTACAGGTAAGCTTCTACATTTTGCCAAGGCTGCATCTCATTGAAAAATCTTTCGCACAGACTGAAGCTCTGGTCTAGAGTCAGGGGAATAGGGTGCTCCTCCTGCTTGATTTCTTCCCATGGCTGAAGCATTGTCCCGTCTGGCCGCTCCAGAAACAGCGTTGAGGTCTCATCATACTGCTGCAAATGTGGAGGCTGGTTTTGAATCAGATGATCTTGCTCTATCTGCTGCTGGCGGTGATGTTGGACATTGAGATCTACCATGCCATTATTCCCAATAATGCACTCCATTGCCGGGGGACCTACATAACTGGCATAGGATTGATGCTGATTTAAATGTTGGCTCTGTCCCATCATTTGGTCCCATCTCCCCAAGCTTTGCCTGCTCTGAACGGAAACCTCCAAGTCACACCCCAGGGAACTGAGTGCCGTGTTGATGTCCAAATCCTCAAAGGTGCTACAGTTTCCGCTTAAGACGTCATCAAACACAGAAGTCAGGTCAAAGTCCCCACGGAGAGTCTGTGTCGTCAACAGGGGAGACTCACCCACTCCAGTTGACTTGTTGTTGTTCGGGAGTTGCTTTCTTTTGTTGGTCTGATATGAACAACCATGCTGAGGGTAACCCAGTTTGTTTTGCCTGTTTGTACTACTGCTGTAGTGGTTGGTTGACATTCTTCTACGCTTGAAGATGCCGTTGACAAACATATCAGCATACTGCGGGTCGATTTGCCAAAAGCCTCCTTTTCCAGGTTCGTCCTTCTGCCTGGGGACTTTCTTGAAGCACTTGTTGAGGGACAAGTTATGGCGAATGGAGTTCTGGAGAAAATAAAAGACAAACATTAGTGGAATGAATTGTTTGTATGGGAAAGCAAATATACCTAATGAGGATTTCCAATACCTCTGCAGCTCTGAACATCAGCTGCATCAGGGGCGCACTCATTAACACACACCTACACGCCACATCCTAGTTCCTATCAATGTCAGGACAAATGTCTTAACATCTTATTGAACGCTATTATAGATTCAAGGTTTGATATATATGCATTTAACAGTTTTTTAAACCATGAAGTTTGTATCAAGCTATCCCATGTCCAAAATTATATACAAGATCCAATACGTATACAAAGATATGGAGTGTTTGCTATTCCTCTCAAAGGGAACTCTGTACATGAACCAGACACCCACTGATTTTATAACTTGAATTCAGGCAGATTGAATATCTGCATTATCCCTCATATTTTGTTACACGTGCCTTTATTTAAGCCTAACCTCTTCTATCATTTCCCCAATATTTAGCTCTTTTTTGTGTAAATAAACCGCAATTGTGATAATCTAACGTGTGCCACCACCTTTCAAATGTGAGGAAACCTTCTGAATCGATTAAGAGATTAAAAGAGAGAATTGACAGCGTACTTGACACATATTTAAACATTCATATTTCCCAATATTAAATATTACATCTAGCATTAATCAAAAAAAGGGCTCGTTACCTGCCAGCTGGGCTCTGCGTGGCGGTAGTAGCAGAAGTTTTCGGTGATCCAGGTGTAGATGGTGGACAGGGTGACTTTCGGCTGCTTGCTAGCCTGCATAGCCATACATATCAGAGATGCGTATGAGTACGGAGGCTTGACTTTGTGGTTGGTCTTGTAGTCCACTTCCTCCTGGGTTTCTTGTGGAGAAAAGCCGTTCCGTGCACAACTGGTGAACCGATGCGTCATGGATGAGTGTGAGCCGGACGTCACGGGACTGCCAGGGTACAGATGCGTCCCTGCTGCCGCTGTGTCTCCTGCTGGGGGGCTGGAGGGTGAGTCAGAGCCGCCTTTAGGGAAACCAAAACGCTTCAGATAGTGCTGTTGCATTGAAGGTCCATGTGTATTAGTCCTCTCTGGATCAGCGCTCAGGATGGAAAAATTCTGGAGCCAGTGAAGACTAGTGAGGCTGTCGTCTTGGGGCGCAGACTCCAGCTCGCATGTATGAGCGATCCATTTGCCATCATATTTGTTGGCTATGTCTGGGTTCGTGAGAACGGGCATTTTTTTCTTTAATGCAAATTATGAAAACTCACTCCGACATTTAAAGTAAATTCTGAAGAATAGAAGCAAACTGTTAGACAACATTCGATGAGCTTACTTATGAATTTGTTTGCATTCCCTATGTTCAATGTCCCTTACCTCCCAGTGTCGCTCTGAGCAGAAGATGCTCACAGTCCGTGTGCACCTGTTGCAGCAGCCTCCCCTCTGGCGCTCTAAGTCTATGAACGCTCCAGGAGAAAGCGGTAGTTCTGAATCTTTTTTTTTTTTCAATTGTTGCTGTCTCTTTTGCTAGTCAGCAGGTGAGAGGAGTATGTCGAGGTTGTTGCAGGACAAGTGCCTCACAAAGCGGTAGAGACTGCCCACCGTCTCTTTAACCACGCGAGGACGAATCTGATTGGCTCCCCTTCTGGCTCTCCACTCGTGCGTTAAAAAGTGAAGTAATTCACGCCTTGATCTTGGCTTTAGTGTGGGCTTTTGTCACGGAAACGTGCTGAAACGTGAGTCCGGTGCAGCGCGCGTCACTAACCCCTCGCTGGCGCTGAAAAAGACGCGCCACAAGTCCCGCTTTGCAGCAACAAAGAATGAAAGTGACCTTGCTCTGATAAGCCCCTATTTACTTCTCCCATTTCCACTGTTGTAGTTGTTAAGTGTTGGTAATGTGTACTGTCCTTTCTGCGTATCAGTTTACCCGCTTGTAGTATACGTTTGCGTTGTTTAAACAAGTTAATCCTGTGATTTGTTTATTTCGTATGAACTATCGAGCCAACACAAAGCCAGCGTAGCCAAGAACTACATTTATTGAACATGAACGCTTTCTTTATTGTCCTCATAATAAAATGTAAAGGTGTTTTAATAAGTTGGCTTCAAGATGCCTACAGTGCATTCTTATGAAAACGCTGCCCCCATGTGGCACTGCATGTTAATGTCATACTCCTGCATGCACTCCTTTCATGTTTGTCCAGATAATTTCCAATATTCCCACAATTTAAAGAGTGCAACAAGGGAAACACAAGGACATTTTGTCATAAAATGGTATGTAGCTTGTAGATGTGTGCTGATAGTGTATTACAGCTACACCACTCTAATGTGGAAACTGAGTCGAGGACGACTTGAACACATGTTATACATGCAGAAGCTCAATAGAGAAGCAAACGAACCCAGATCCATTGTAACATTACATGGTACCATGGAATGTTTATCAAAACATTACATGGTACCAGGAGTGGGTATATGATGACAGACATTGTGGAAAGTGTGAAGCCGCCAGATGCCGTCAATTGGACTGGTAATGTGGACTGTGAGTGGTGTACTTTTAAACAGCGATTCCAGCTGTATTTGCAAGCTATCCGTCTAGATAGCAAGCCAGACACACGGATGATTGCACTGTTTCTCACCGTGGCTGGGCCACTAGTAGAAGTCCACAACGCGTTCATTACTGCCGATGGTGATAGAGATATGTTCAATCTGGTTGTTTAAAAGATTGATGAACACTGTTCTCCCAAAAAGAATGAAACGTTTGAAAGATACGTTTTTCACTCCCGCATACAGTAACCTGCTGAAAGCTTTGACACTTTTTTGACATACTTAATGCTAAAGACTTCAAGTATGTCAAAGGATTGATTGATTGATTAAAGGCTAAAACATGTAACTTCGGGCTGCTTCAAGAATCAATGATCCGAGACCAGATTGTTTTTTGAATAAAGGATACAAAGATAAGAGAGTGTCTGTTGAGAGAAATGGAGTTAACATTGGTTGGTGCTGTGAAAATATGCCATGCAAGTGAACTTGCCTTACAACCAATGACGTGCAGTCAGGGGAGGCAGAGCCTCACCTGCCATCATTGGAAACAAAGAAATATTTTAGTTGTAATATATAATGGTTTTCCACTGTCCTATGCTTTTAATGTATATTCGGCACGGTTCTAACCAGTTTTGATCATTTCTGAGGTCAAAATTGCCGAAATCCTGTTTTTCCTATTCAAAGACACAGATCGCTCACCTGTGTGTGTGCACTCAGCTCGTGCTGTTGATATATCGCTGTTTGTTTCAAATATCCTGCTTTGAAAACATTTGTTAAACTTCTCTTAGTGTTTAGTAATGAATTGCACGTATGTGTGTGCTATTTATATTTAAGTCTTTGATCGGAGAAGAATACACAAGGAAAAAGCTTGGCCTGAGGCAGGCAGTGTCTCTGCCTCAACGCTAGGGGTGATAGTGAGCATCAAGTTTATATTGAGTTGCTAACAAACAATCGGCCCAATATGTTATTTCTATTGCTAGAAAATGGATGATTTGATTGAAGATTTTTTTCTCAACTGGACCCTCAATCAAAGCAAGAAATAATATAGACTGCGAGACCACCGCTGGACTTACGAGGTTAGTCCAGCCAAGGGGGAGGAATTTGTCAATCTCTGCATAACAGTGCTTCTCCGAAAATCACTGATTCAAACACTGCTCAAGAGTTCTGCAACTTGTTTAAATTATTGTTTATGTTCCTCGCGTCTCTCTCTCTCTCTCTCTCCTCGTGTCTCTCTCTCTGCTCGCGGCTCTCTCTCTCTGCTCGCGGCTCTCTCTCTGCTCGCGGCTCTCTCTCTGCTCGCGGCTCTCTCTCTCTGCTCTCGGCTCTCTCTCTCTGCTCGCGGCTCTCTCTCTGCTCGCGGCTCTCTCTCTGCTCGCGGCTCTCTCTCTGCTCGTGGGTCTTTCTCCTCGCGTCTCTCCCTCCTGTGCTTCTTAAATATGTTGTTTGATGCGGAGCAGAGAGTCAGCAGCTAGATTTGTTTTGGGATTATTAAAAGAAGTTGGTTCTCTTATCTTTACAGTATATGAACCTTGTGGATGTTATTGCATTGGCTATTAAATGCTATTTTATTTGAATAAAGATGGTAAATCTGAATTTTAAAGTCAGTGCCTCCCCAATCAATCCCCAATTTTCAAAAAGTAAGAAAAGTCAAAAAGACAGAGTGAACACTGTGGATGAAACTGCTTTTGATGATAGATTTTTTGTGGGCATGGTGATGCAGCAAGAGTTATACACAGTTCAAATGCCACTCAAATCAGAAGAGCAGGACAAGTGGATGGAAACTTTGCCAGTAAATGGAGCCCTGGTCACATTCAAACTGGACACAAGAGCTAAGGCAAACGTTGTGAATGAACTGGATCTGAAAGCAGTCAAAACAACAACTCACTCCAGACCTACAATGGTCAACCAATCGACACCAAAGGAAAATGCAGACTCAAGGTAAAAATCAAAGGCAAATATTACAGTCTCAGATTTATTGTGGTACCTGAAGGACACCAATCTCTGCTTGGTGATCAAGCATGTGAAAAACTAGGCCTTGTTAGGAGAGTGTACAGCATTACAGGTAACACAACTGAGCCTAACACTGTGAAAACGATTGTGGACCAGTACCCAGAAATATTTCAAGGGTTTGGTGTTTTGCCTTTCACCTTTAAAATACGATAAAAAGACGGTTCTCAGCCTGTAGTGCATGTTCCTCGACAGGTTCCTGCAGCATCAAAAGAAAAGCTCAAGGAGGAACGTGACCGAATGGAGTCACTGCAGGTAATATGGAAGGTGGAGGAGCCCACAGAATGGGTTAACTCCATGGTGTGCATCAATAAACCAACCGGTGCTCTGTGAGTGTGCATGAATCCAAAGGATATGAATGAAAATATAAAAAGGGAGCACTACCAAATTCCAACAAGAGATGAAATAACGAGTGAAATCGCAGGTGCGACTTTTTTCACTAAACTGGACGGGTCTCAAGGATTTTGGCAGATAAAGCTACAAGAGGAGAGCACGAAGTACTGCACATTCAACACACCATATGGACAATACTGCTTTTTGAGGATGCCTTGTGGAATTTCTTCAGCTCCTGAGGTTTTTCATCGATCAATGGAGCATATGATCGAGGGCATTCAAGGAGCACGTGTGTATGTCGGCAACGTCGTACTGTGGGGAGCCACAGTTGAAGAGCATAATGAGAGACTTGCCAAAGTAGTGCAAAGAGTCAGAGAGTATGGGCTCAAGCTGAACAGATCAAAGTGTCTGTTTGGTGATACAGAAATCATCTTTCTTGGTGACAAGCTGACAAAAGATTGCATTGAGCCAGACAAGAACAAGATTCAGGCCACACTAGGTATGCCACGCCCAGAGGACAAGAAAGGAGTTTTGAGGGCGCTTGGGATGACAAACTTCCTTGGAAAATTCATACCGAACTTGTTGTCAAAAACAGTATACCTGAGACTTCTACATGAAGGAATTGAGGTTAAATGGAGTAAAAACCTGGAAAAGGAATGGCTGAACTAAAAGGAACTAAAACAAACTCTAGCCTCAGAGCCAGTACTTGCATATTTTAATATCCACAGATTCATCAAAAGAGGGTATTGGAGCTGCGCTATTACAAGCATACAGAGACAACTGGAGGCCGGTGGCCTACGCCTCAAGAGCAATGACTGCAGCAGAATGTCGGTATGCTCAAATTGAAAAAGACACTTTGGGACTAGTTTATGGATTTGAAAAGTTCTACTGCTATGTTTAGGGCTTGCGAACCTTTGTGGCAGAGACAAACCGCTGGTAGCCATCATATAGAAAACTTCTGTGAAATGTCTCCACGCATCCAACGGCTCATGATGAAGTTACAACGCTGTGACTTCAACCTGATCTACACACCAAATAAACTCATTGTGATAGCAGATGCTCTGTCTAGGGCCACAAAACAAAACAAAGACCCAAGTACAACAGAAACTGATATCAATCTACATGTTGATCTGGTAGCTGAAGCACTCTGTGTCAGATACAAAATCCAAACTGATCGCAGCTGAGACACAGAAAGACACTAATCTGCAAAAAGTAATAACACTGTTAAATGGGAAATGGCCAAGAGGTGAAGGCCAACCATATTACAACATAAGAGCAGAGTTAAGTGTAATCAATGGACTTTTTTGAGAAGATAGTGATTACTGAGACAGGAAATGCTCAAAAGACTGCATGAAGGGCAT